TTGTCAGTTTCTGATCATCCGAATCATGTCTTCTCCCAAAATCTCGGCGCAATGTGCATGTTGGTCTTCAACTTTTCAGTTCTTCTTCAGAATTACAAGTCAGTACGTGCCTCGTGATGCAGTTTAGTGATATCCTCAATGTATATTCTATCGACTTCCAACGTCTGTGGGTTCGCTGTGGATTTTTTGATGAAGCTGTTTTGTTCAAGTGTTCTTCAGAGTGTTCCACCCAACTATGCTTCTCTACTTGAATTACAGTAATCGGTTTGCCTTCTTTACCCATGCCCGGACTTTTTGGCTTAACATATTTTCCTACCAGCTTCATTGTTCTGTCGTAAAGTTGTCTCAAATTTCCTTCAATCTCAGCTTTTTCCACTGTCGTTGCTGTGCCTTCCGCGTATTTCCGTTTGTCAGCTCTTGTTCTCTTCCTTACATGTGTGTTTGCTTCTGTGTGTTCGTTATGCGCCTTGAATTTCTCTGATCTGGTGCGGCTGTTTTTAATTGCAGTCTTCTTGCTCTTCAATCCTTGGATCTTGTTCACTGTTTTGATAGAGATCCATTTCTGATAATAACGCTTGATTCGGTCCAGAATGTCATGAAAGGTTGAAGTTAGTGCTTGCCCCATCCCTTCCCAAATGTCCCCTGTATCAGTTTCTTCCTATTTGAGTAGATAATGCAAGGCTTGAAACCTGTTGTTGAGAGCTAACTTGAATTCGCTGAGTGTGCTAGTATGTCGAAGGAAGGCTGTGTTGAACCTTTGTAATGCTGTCACCCCAGTTGTCCAGTGTTTCTTAAGCTTCAGTTTTATCCTGGCAACCACCAGCTAGTGGTGATCTGAAGCTGTGTCAGCTCATCTCCTGGTTCTCACGCCTTCCATCGATCATTGACCTTCTGAATTATTTAGTAATGCAAATCTGATCGATCTGGTTCTGTGTAATGTGATTCGGTGAAATCCGTGTAGCTTTGTGTATGTGTTTGTGTGGGAATATTGTGTCACCCATAACCGTCTTGTTGAATGCACATAAACTTGCGAGCCTGTCACCATTCTCGTTTCTTCCTCCCAGCCACTCCATGTTGTCCCATGTTATCTTGATGCCCGGTGTTGTCCATTACGACATCGTGGTTTAGATCTCCCATCAGGATGGTTAGGTTCTTCCTGGGACACTTTGCTATGATCGATTGCAGCCTCGAGTAGAACTGATCTTCATCACGTTCATTGCTATCATTGGTGGGTGGATAACATTGGATAACATTCCTTGTGATTCCCTCCTTTGTCTTGAATGATGCTTTAATGAGTTTAAATTCATGAGATTTCCATTCTATGAGTGCATCAATGCAACTCTCTGTGTGTGCAGAGCGTTTTCTTACTCGTGATAAGAGTACGACAGCATCGCTGCCAAATCTAACCTTTTCTGTCGAGCTAGGGTCGAATGGGTTTCACTTATTCCTAATACCTCCATGTTGTATCTCCCTATTTCTGATATTATTTGATTGGTCTCTCCAGCCTCGCACATTGTCAAACATTCCGTGTACCTATAATAAGTGTTGCTGTGATTGTTAGGAGGGACATCGGATAATATTTTATTACAGGTCAAATCCTAAATCGATAAGTAATGAAACAGGACCATTGTTTATTCTCCTAAATAGATGACTCTAAGAAAGGTTTCACCTCATTTAACGCGGTTAAAGCGTTAGCTACAACGTCTGAGGCAGGATGGTAACAATAAATTTGTAATTGTTTCATGTCGATATGACCCTCAGCATTAAGTCTCAAATGTTTATTCAAAGAACATCAAGCAGTATACTCGTCACTCTAATAACCGACGCAAATATTGGACATGGCGTCAAGGAATTTAACTTTTGCCTACCTATACAAAAACAAGAGTGACGAGATGGGATATTCTATGGGAGTCGCCACTATTTTAAAATGATTAGATTCCACAGTTTGCGGTTTAGAATGGTTCAGAGTAACGGTGGATAGAAAAATTTTTGTGGCAATCCTATTGGATGACCATCTAGCATCTTCATTGTAGATCACCAACGTAGATGGTCCATGTCGAAATGATTGGAGGCCTACTCGAGTTGGACGCGAATGGTGTGAAAAACTAGCTAACGTCGAAGTCACACCTCGTGGTCAGCACCTTACGTGGACTACCCCATTGACGTATCAAGGTACCATAGATGCTTTGAAGACTGTACAACACAGTGGACGTTATTACAGAAATAAATTATTTAAAGTAGATACAAGCAAAAGTAAGACCACTGTCCCATGGGGCAGTTCATGGCATACGATTAACTGATGCGTGTTGGTTGTCCCTGACCTTGACGAGGATCGATGATTTGCTCGATATTCAATGACCCACCTGCCAAATGATTTGGCTAGGGCTTCCTGACATTTCGCCGGCCCTACACCGTCTTTGGTGATATAGCACCTCTTGGTGAGGAAGATATTAGGCGTCAACTGATGGGAATAATACCACATGCAAGAGAGATAAGTTTTAATAAGTGGTCATTTGATGGAAACCAAGTAATAGTAAACGTAGGTGAACGTCAATTTTAGGTAGATTCTTGATTGTTTCAGTAGCTATTAATCCTATGGCAAATCTATTGTTAAAAATTGCAGTTCCTTTTATATGAATTTTTGTTTATTAGTTTAGTGGAGGAGCACTTTGTAATAGAAAATACTGTTAGAAAACCACTACAATCTCTTGAAAGTGAAAAGGTTGTAAACACGTGATGAAGGACGAGAATCAACAAACAACTCAAAATAAATATTGCGCAAACCAAATATAAAAATAATCATCAACAGCTAAATAATATATATGTCTGTGATCTCAAATTGTTACAAGGAACGTATTGCTCCAGCCATCAATCTAATGGACTTTTATTCAGCTACACTGAATTTGTGAAAGTTAAATAAGCAGGTTTTGATAAAGTCAAATAAAGTTCGAAAGTACCAACTTGAGATACTTTCACAATCAGAATTCAGAGTACGTATTTAAACAAAAGATCACATATCTAAAGTAGTATAACATTGAATTATTTTCCAGTATGAACAGTTTAGTGAATATTCAACATTTGGTACTGACCACGTTTGACAATTAGAAGTATGCAAACTGACATCAAAACTAAGAATTTTTCGAATAGTTCAATTTAAGACAGAACTATATGAGCACAACTTAACGTATTATATGTGGAACTCCTAATAAGAGCAGAATCAATTGCAAAAATTTTATCATTTAGTACAAATAACACACCTCGTGGGATTTGAACTATAGATATGACTGAGTATGAGCGATTATGCGTCTGCCCTTGATTCAGCACTACCCACATTATACATTTCTTCAATCTTTTATTTGTTAATTCGTCAGTGCTAATCCTGTGGTGGACCAAACGATATATAAACGCAAAAAGTATCAACAAAGTTAATAAAAAATCAATAGAAATGTTAATATATATATATATATATATATATATATATATATATATATATATATATATATATATATAAAAGTTAATTATTACAAATACAACAGAAAGTTGGGATTTTACTTAAGTTCACCAAAATGATGCGTGTTCGCCTTTGGTCTGGTACTAAGAAACCAATTATAAATGCTTGGTAATTCCAATCTGGTTGATGAACTTTCCAGCGATATAATCCAACATAGGATGTGAAATATCCCAATTACAGTCTATAAATGTAGATAGTATTTGATTTAGACTTCAGTTAACTCAATCACAAACGAAGATAGAACGAGGCATGTATGAGTAGTAGTGTATTTGTTAGCCAGCAAGAGTATGTCACGCTGTGGTTGCACAACGGAAAAGTGTGTTCAAGGTCATTTACTAAAACAACAGTTACAGTCATTTAATGTTAAATATACATACAGTGAAAGGCTGACAAGATAAATACAAATAATATTAAAAACTATTTACAAAATAAGTTTGTCAGTCATATCTCCACAATCCCGTTTGTCAATACAAACAGCTAACTAAACCGTTTCTTCTCCTTCTATTAATTCAATTTGTAAGCTGACATAACTCTCAACAGCTTCCATACTCTTGACTTTTCTGTTAGTTCGATCCCATATTTCTCTAATACATTTCACCACCCTGTCTAGTTAACATTAGCTGCGGAGACCTGAATAACAATGCATCTAATGAAAATAATTCAGTTTAGGTTTAATATACTCATTTAACATAACACCACACTTTCGTCACAAATGACGCAGCTTTATTGTTGTTTTGTTCCGTTCGTTGTTCTTTTCTCGCATCCTTCCTTCATTAACACCATCTTATCAGTATAAATCTCTTTACTTGATACTTCTGATAATCCTTCCTACGGGAAGCTAGAACAGGAGTTACTCAAAAATTGCTAGCAAGAAGCAACAATTGGTATTCTTAAAATTTCAGCTTTTACTTCAGAAATTATCCGTTTACAATGTTATATTGCCTATCTCACTTCATTTCTCAACCAAAACTGATCATGACGCATCAGAAACTAAGTGTGCTAATTTGTACAATATTTCCATAATATAACCAATTGATAAATTCTAGAATAGTTGGGAAATAATGGTTTCAATTCATGATACAAAAACCCGCCTACTGCAGGCTGAATATTTCACTTGATCTGAACCCACTTCTAAATTCCAAAATACAGTTTTCTAAACTGTTTCTAAGCGTCTATCATGGTGCTTATATTTACATAACTAATAGATTACAACAACATTAATATGACTTTAGAATTCAGCATATTTCTACCAGAAAGTCCGGTGTGGAAATACCTATCATTCATTAACTCTGAACAACCATAGTAACAATGATAATAACAACACATTAGCTATGGCCAACCATCCAGTTATGAATAAATGAAAGTATTTACATCAGGATAACTGCAAGTCAATTTTTTTAAAAGTTAATAATATGCAAAGAAATACTAGTAAATATATAAATCTGAATGAATATGAAAATTTATACGGTAACTTGTCTGTAATACTATGTCAAGATTTTAATTTGCAATTCATTGAATCACAATATAGTTTAACATTGATTACAATAGCTGGAATACTGCTGATTGTTATTAGACGTCTTTTTATAACAGTATAATTTACTGAAGTCAAACCTCCGATCGGATTGCGAATCAAGTTCATCTTAAAGAAAAAAAGAAATATGTATATATATATATATATAAACTAATCCAATTAAGCAACAATGAATTTCATTCAATAGTACTAAATTATGAAATATTTTCTTTTAACACAACCATTTACATGCTTGTATACATAGAACAAAAATGAACATGATCAAAATTAGGCATTTGTTAAGTAATTTTTGAATTTATAAGCCTCTACGATTAATAGAGGTTACACAAAGTACTAGTGAACAGGTTAATATGTATTAGTTCGAGATTATCAACTCCTAGCAAACTACATTTGAACAGTAAAACAATAGAATCCTCTTTTAAGAAATGGATAATTTACCTTTCAATATCATAAATGCAAACTATTAGGATGAACAGATGTTTGGAATATCTTTCAAATGAAAAATTTAGTGCAGTATATATATATATATATATATATATATATATATATATATATATGCATTCGACACTTATTTTTTTCTAAGGTCTGATAATTTTGAAACGATGGTGACAATTAACAGCCCAGTTCAACGTTCTGATGTTGCGTTTTCTGACATGAATTTCCATCACTAAGACACATTGTCGTTTTGGACATAATCAGTGCTAACTTCATAACTTGGTTGTGTTAATTGTTGAATAAAACAAATTTCGACGAATTTCACATTTTTTGTGATAATTCAAGTAATTCTTTCTGTATATGGTGGGACGATTTGAATTTGAGTTCGTGGAGGTGATTTCGTGACGACAGATTCATATTCATTAGCTTCTCATCTATTCCAGGTATGTCTTAATATCCCTTCAATTTCGCTGGTTTTCAGGTTTTTCGTTGTTTAAACGACTGGTAAAAGGAGAACTGATAAGCAATAAGAGAAAATTCGAAGTTTTTTCATCTCTCTGTTAATCCTATTCGACTTAAAATTTATGGAATTAGATAGTAATGAAAACATTAAGATAAGTTGATTGTATTTAAAAAATAACTAATTTTTAACAACTTACAACATCAGGATTATAGTAGGTCTTAACGTCTCGTTTATGTTGATCTTCTTGATGAATATGACGGAAAGCTTTCAGCCCCATGGTAACATTAATTGGCGTTACAATCTAATAAGTTGGTTGAAAAAATCATGAAATGTAAACTTTTTCAAAAACCTTAGTATATTTGGATTGTAGAATCCAGAACGCTCGTTTCTTTCTATTTGGGACACACCAACCAAATGTAATTGTACCCCAAGATTAGTACTGTATTAACACTGATACCTGAACCTAGTGCCTATCGCTTTAAACTCGAGCTAATTGTGCACCACGTTGACGAGTCCCAAATAAGACGAAACACGCATCTTGGGTTTCATTGCTAACAACAATGCGAGTGTGCCGTGACTTGTAAGAAAGATCGTGTATCGAGGAATCCGCTGAAGATGAATATATGCCAATTAATTATTACTTAGTTCTGAACACAGACAAGGAAATAATGCAAAGTCCTTAGAATCTGATCGTTAGTATATTTTTACAGTTATAAAGCGAATAATAGAACTCAGTAATTAAATATTTGTTTATATATTATGCACTAGGTCGTACAATTTAGGTGGTCAAGGACAGTTATGTGAAGTGTGAATATGGTATCTGAGAGTTGACGTCAGTTAAAGTGACCTACAAGAAGTTGTTTCATAACAAATAAAACGCTATTTTAAATGCATCACCTTCGAAAACTCGGTCCAAAATCACTGGGATCAATCAAATTTATAAATCTTTCAACATGATCTTTATTCCTCAAACATTTTGTCTGTACTTTTTATTTGAAGTAAACCACAAAAAATATCTGGTGCACTACAAGTTTGAGGTAGAGTGAGGACATTTATTACTGGGTCATCAATTTTCAATTCAAAAGTTTTATGACAAATAATAAAAACGTAATCTATATTAGAAGTTTCTTTAATCAAAACTCCCAAGAGTTTTACATTTAAACAACCTGATAGTAACGATATACAGAAGATTCATAAATGATTAGTAATGAAAGAAGACCTAATGAAGTGGTCACATACGTACAATCTACCAGTACTATGAATCAGTATGATATGTGAATTCAAATGATAGGCGGAAAGTGAATCAAATCAATTAATTAGTTAAATAAAAACGTCTGCAAAAAAGACAAAAACAAAGTGATATGTTTAACGGGTACATATTTGTAAGCCAACAGGACATCCTGGAACTAAGCATTTAGAGATTCAAGTGTTGATTAGGGTTGCACATATTGAGAAAGAATACTTCTTCTTATGATACCTACGATGAAACCAGCGAGAACAATCAAACAATATCAGAAATAGGGAGATACAACATGGAGGTATTAGGAATAAGTGAAACCCATTCGACCCTAGCTCGACAGAAAAGGTTAGATTTGGCAGCGATGCTGTCGTACTCTTATCACGAGTAAGAAAACGCTCTGCACACACAGAGAGTTGCATTGATGCACTCATAGAATGGAAATCTCATGAATTTAAACTCATTAAAGCATCATTCAAGACAAAGGAGGGAATCACAAGGAATGTTATCCAATGTTATCCACCCACCAATGATAGCAATGAACGTGATGAAGATCAGTTCTACTCGAGGCTGCAATCGATCATAGCAAAGTGTCCCAGGAAGAACCTAACCATCCTGATGGGAGATCTAAACCACGATGTCGTAATGGACAACACCGGGCATCAAGATAACATGGGACAACATGGAGTGGCTGGGAGGAAGAAACGAGAATGGTGACAGGCTCGCAAGTTTATGTGCATTCAACAAGACGGTTATGGGTGACACAATATTCCCACACAAACACATACACAAAGCTACACGGATTTCACCGAATCACATTACACAGAACCAGATCGATCAGATTTGCATTACTAAATAATTCAGAAGGTCAATGATCGATGGAAGGCGTGAGAACCAGGAGATGAGCTGACACAGCTTCAGATCACCACTAGCTGGTGGTTGCCAGGATAAAACTGAAGCTTAAGAAACACTAGACAACTGGGGAAACCCACCGAACATCGAAACAACAAACACAGATCCATCTATAGATGTCACCCCACCAACGATCGAGCAAATCAGGATGGTCATCAGGCAGCACTGGAGTCACACACGGAAGCAACTGCAAACATGCCTCACACGCTATTCAGTAAGATTTGGTAGGACAGACAAGTGCCAACAGACTGGGAAGAAGGATATCTCATCAAGATACTAAAGAAAGATGTGAGAAAACGTGAGAACTACGGAGACATCACACTACTATCTGTCATTTTACGGCGGAGAGTGGGGAGAGTCAACTCTCACTCTCGAAATTTTCTCATATAACCACTTGCATACAACCACTGCCAGGAAAGTCCAACCCACTGCTTTCTCCAGGCAGGGGTGTTGTTTACGAAACTGAAAGGGCGAAAAAGAATTTTCGGTGAATATGGAGGATCCACAATGGGGATTTCGAAAAACCTGTTTCCAAACCAATGGTGCACATGGGCTCCAGGATCCTAAGGAAACAAACCACATAAGAAGTCATTGTTGGTCACCGGCTACCATGGAACTGCATCTATTTACGTTGCTCCACCGCCTTGCGGATTAGACTTTTAGGTCAAAGGCTAGGGGTGTGCCCCTCCAAAAAAAACCCACTTGTTTCGGTTTAGGCACCCGGGCAGTATCACACAAATCGGACGACTTATGTGGAGCATATCTATTTGGTGCCTCCTTGTACCAATATTTGTGTTTAAATAACAACAAGTCTAATGATAAGGTTAATTAATGGCAATCAGAAGTGATCTAAATTTTAGGTGCATTTCATGGGATCGATTTCCTAAAGATTAGAATGGTATATATATATATATACTTTCCCGCTCAAGTATTCATCTGGTAGGTCAGCACGTAGCAAACCGTGTATCAGTATCAGATTCCGGACACTTCTCGTCACAAGACTATCAGTACTCGGAAAAGCGTTCAGCAGTGTTGTTGAACCGGATGAAAGATTCAGTAAACGCCTAACATTGAGAACAACAGGACGGATTCCGTGGGGACCGGTCATGTACAGTCAAAACAGTAACACTACTGATCAATGGAATGAAATTCGTCACTATACATCAACTTCATTGACTATGAGAAAGCATTTGACAATCTGAATATAACGATATGGAACGTTCAACACTATGGTGTACCTGGGAAAGCCTCCAACATCATCCGGAAGTCATATGATGGACTACACTGCAAATTTGTGCATGGAGGACGGCTGAATTCTATGTGAATACTGGTATCATTAAATTATTTGTTCCGAAAGGAGCTTTCTAATAAACTAATAAACGTGAGACCTCAATAAAATACTATACCAAATAGAGTTTTTTGACTAATCTGCAAAGTCGAATTTACTAACATTAACTGAAAACAGAAACAAAAGTAAAAGAACTGTTTTATTTCAACCAGAAAAGAAATTCATATGTGAATTAATATCAATATGAATTCTGATTATTATTACCTTAAATCCTTTCGATTTTAAACGTATCTGAAATTCATCGTCCTCTCGTCCCCATCCCCAAAATGAGTTTGACATACCACCAACTAAACTGTATTGAGTTCTTTTAATGATTAAAACACCACCGGCATATTCTTTAAAATAATAATAACGTGGATGAAGATAAAATGGAATAAGATGAATCGGTCCTAATTCCGATGGCATATTATATTTTAATGCCGGATCTTCAGGTAGTAAGTCAACATCATGTAAAGCCAAATATTTTGTAAAAGGAAGTTTTAAACATTGTGAAGATAACTGATACAATGAATTTTTTTGAGTAATACTTTCAACAATAATTCCATTAACTTCAGCTTCAAGTGACTCAAGTGCTCCTACATTTAACAAAGCTCCTCTATTAAACCTGAAATAAATTATTAAGACTGTTTATAATACTATATCTTATATGGCTTTGCTAGCGTATATAATGTATGCCAGGCACAACAAACGTCGAGCCCGAAAAAATGTGTTGTATTCCACGTTGACAAACAACAGTACGAAAATACAAAATTAACAAGATGAATTGCAAAGAAATCGAAGTAATGTGGTAACAATAATTATGAGTAAGAATGAACATTGAGAATATGGTACAAAACACCGGATGAAAACATACTTACGCCAGTTACCCTTCATGAAAGATCATGGGCCGCTCATTAGCATTCTCCACCTAACTCTATCCTGAGAAATCATTTCTAGTTCTTTCCAGTTCCATAAGGACCTTGTATCCACTGAGTGAAAATGTATGAATAAATTCATATTGAATCCGAAGACTTGGAGAATGTATGGGCACCATTTCGAACGGTTCTGATAAATGTCACTAACTATTGACTGGGATTATCACATAGATCCGAACCAGGGAGCTCAAATTTAGTTACATGGCATAAATAAACAGTCAATGAATTCATGGACTGGTGCCACGTCACAGTGTGGCCACAACTATATATATATATATATATATATATATATAACAAATAATCATATATTATTTAGACATAAAATGTTTCGGAATTCAGCTCACCGAAGATCATCCACTTGATTAATGATAAAAAATGTATGACGAACGTTTTGATTATTGAGGAAGTTGTTTAAATGAGGTATGAATTCTTGCAATTCAGTGAAACGGTCTCTAAACGGTACTAAAACTGCCATACGATTAATAGTAGGGTCTTCTTTAGAGTGATCAAATACTGGACAATTCTGACTATCAGCTGGACCCCACTTCCAATCAGATATCCTTATTATTACATCACTGACGATATAATGTTTAGTGAAATATAGGAATGCTGCAAAGAAACACAGCGCTATAAAAACGCATGTTTTCCCTTTGTATTTTCGACAGTGAAGCTGAAATAAAAACCAAAAAAAATAATCTGAATGATTGGCAAACATCTGCGTAAAAAATACAACATATTGTCCTCGTAATTGTTTACGAAAGGAAAACAGACTGAATTCTTAGGAATTGCTGATTAAGATAACAGAAAGACAGAGGTCTCATTTGATGAATGAAGTTCCTGACCGTTGCTGCTACCTTGATATGGTGGTTGGGCTTGGCTGTCGTAATGAACCAATCAAGCTATACTGCATGGAACAGCTCCTCAAGGTCCTACCGTACCAGACAGGTCGGTTGGAGAGCGGTAAAACGAAAATCAGCTAGCCCAAAGTCCGAATGCGAAGTCATACTGCTGACTGTACAAAAGTGTGATGGCAGTAAGGTATTTCCTTCAGACAACCAGCATAGCAACGATGCTGCCTTCCCACAAAGAAAGGGCAGAGTTAGAAAAGGTTGACCCTAAAAATGTACAACTCGCCTCCGTCTCCGGCGGTAAGGTCCCATAAATACGGAGCTAACACGGAAATTGCTCACATAAAGGTCGTGTGTGACCGATCTCAATCAGTTGTACCTTGGGCACTGCGGTCAGGCTCTCAGGTCACTAAGACCACCCTAACCCAATTTTCTTTTCATGTAACTCCAGAAGAACCCTTCCACGGTGTGGGCGACCGGGAAGTGATAACTGATCTCATACCTCTAACAGCACTCGAGATCAGTGCTAATGAGGTGTGGCAACTTGGACCGATTCATATATGTGCTTGGTCCAGCATTGTAACTGACTGATGAGTGAAGTTACATCCATTATAGTGGATAGTGATCAAAACACAAAGAATGTAGTGGGGTTTTTCTCCTGAGCTGGATGGTTCAGTCGTGGAGCTTTTTAGTCTTCTTCTGAACGACATCATCAATACAAACTTCAAGTAGAAGTGGTCAAAGTTCTCCACATATATAGCTCACAGCTTGTCATGTAGACCTCGATCTCTAACCTGTCATTGTTTATTTTGATTGTATCTCCCAATGATTTAATTCTCGATCCCATATTTGTCTATAATTTCCCTGATTGGTCGATAAATTGGAAATCGATCCACTTAAGAACAACTGTACTTTCTTTACGAGTGTTTTCGTCAGCATATACTGCTAACAAGTGTAAGATAAAGACCTCCAATCAACTGCCCAATGGGATGGAGAATAGCTGAACAAAGTGGAAGGAAAACGGCACACATAATGATAACTGATGCACAATATAGAATCCACAAATACCAACACATCATGGATAACAAAAAGAGGAAGCTAGAAAGGATACTTACGTCAGAATATTTGGCAATCTTGACAACAGCCATAGAGATATCATGCAGACAACACAGAGAGCAATGACGAAACACCCTTGAGAAAAAACTAGTCGAGATTTCATAACCACCCACGGATGAAAACACAAACAAATGGGTGGTCAAGCTGTCATAGCAACCGCTGACAAACATAGAACATCTACTCAGAAAAGGATTAAACTACAATAAAAGTGGCGCCTCGAAACTTCACAAAAATCATCCACTCGAGCTACAAATCTCGATTATCTCAAGTACTGAGACTCAAACTATACATATATCCAGTTAACATTAGGCTGGTACGATTATCTGAAAAACTACAAAAACCTCTAACATTTATAAAACTCGAAATAATCTATGGAAATTTAAAGTTTAAAATTATTTTAATATTTTAGACTCTATTTCTAGTGTCATCTTAGCATTCATAACTTTTGACCCCAACCATTTCTCGAGAAAGTAATACTTCAAAAATGCAGTCAATTTCTAATAAAAGTTTGTGCGTAGATTGATTTAATACATGAAATTCTTACATGCTTATTTAAGGTAAGATTCACAGAGGTGAATTAACTAATCAAAAGGGATTTCAGCTGAAATGGATACCTATTCAGGATGCTTAATTGCAAAAACTTTCACTCACTTGCTGTTCTATACAGATTATTACTACTATTCAACCTTTGAAATGCATATACACAGATGTCTACCTATGGACAAGATAAATAAAACGTTTCTCAAACACATTTGTGTATATAACTTAAGGAAACATTTAATTTGTTACGTATACTATGATATTTATTACTACTTAAATGTTTACTGCATAAGAACTAAACCAACTAACCTTTCTAGTGATTGTATGTAAAACGTGGTACATGAGTAGTACTAAGTTTTAAACTATCTACTCTCAATTGTAAAAATCTTCTATCAATTAATTTTATGATACTTAATAAAAATTGAATGTCTGAAGGGTACTAACTGATATGATGGTCATTAAATAAGCTTTAGTTTAAACAAAATCAGAGACAGTCAACCAGTTAATAATATTAATTTTGGTAGAGAAATAAATATACAAAGTACAGTCAGCAAAGCATAAGATCGGGAAATGACCAGCATAAAATAACAAGATTCAGAGAATGTTTTAAAATAAATGCATCGACCGCAAAATAACCGATTTTAAGCCATGTCATCTATAGTCACTAATTATAGACTACAGTTATTTATCCTATGTCAACCACGGAATTTGTAAGTCTAAAGATGGCTCTTTTTATGACAATCCATGCTGGTGGATATTGTTAACCATGATGACGAACACTAAGATGAATTACTGAATGCCATCAACTGGTTAGTACGATAACATTTATATTCAGAATGGAATACATTTACTTTAACAAGCACCATACTTATTAGACGTATTAGATTCCCAATTGTAGTCCCTATGTAATATTACCCAAAATTCGAAACTTAAGCAAGAAAAGCACAGTTACTAATAGCAAATAAATCTAGCAGTAAACAGGAACGCTTGCTCTAACATACATGAATACATGAAAATATAGGGAAAATGAAGTCAACAATTCGAAGGACGATGAAAAGATTGTTTTAATTGTCTTATGTTTTGATTAAAACAAGCTAACTTGAGACTTAGTGTATCAAAGAAGTACAAAAGGCATGAAAATCTAACATTAGCACAACATAGTATAGTAAGTTTCTTGAGTGATAACAAGTGATTGAAATTTATGAATACAACATACTGAAAACATGACATTTCATGCACTGATGTATAAAAGATCGCCTGCTTAAAATTAATAATAAATAGTTGTGCAAATTACAAATAAACCAATCAGACGGTTATCTACGTATTTTAATGAATGCCATAAGCATACTTTCCATATAAACTGAAAACAAAATACCAATGAAATATTACTGAATGATTTAACTGTACCAGATATCCAGTACTGAAGACTTGAACAATCCTCTCAAGAATAAGTCAATCAGCTAAAACGTAGGACAACGCAAATACATCATTAGCACAACAAGATGAACACCAAATTCATAGTAGTCACATCGATGGTAGTAATGCATAAAAGAATGGACTGTGTATAAGGATATAGTACAGGAAGAGACAATTAGTTCGTAGAAAGAAAGATATAAAGCAATTTCAATCTCACGGTTTAAGGGATGACAAAGAGTGTATACACCGACGCCATTGTGATCAATTCTGAGCCATGTCACCTAGAGTTTCCAACCATTGGTTACCATAGTCACACGAACTCCAACCAAGTAGTCAGCATCTATCAACATGGCTCACATAAGTAGTTAGTGACTTCGAGGACTGATGCCACGTTTTGGTTTGGCCACCCCTAACTTTCTTTCAACCATCCCCAACACATTGTGCGTCGTGGTAATCGGTATTCAGGCATACGTAACAAGTGGCCCAACCATCTCAGTTGATGAAGATTTACAATCTCATCAACTGATTTACCATCATTCCCTAATACCCTGCGTCTAACCTCACTATTACTTACCCGATGATCCCGGCAGATGCGAGCTATATTTCTAAGACATCTGTGGTCAAATACTAGAGTATCTTCTACTCTTGGTGGTTACGTTTCGCAGCCGTAAAGTAGAACAGAACGAACTGTCGTGCAGTATACTCGTCCTTAATTGATAGACGGATATGTCACCTTCGCCATAGGTAGCGCAAGATGGCAAAAGCCAAGCGAGCTTTTCGAATCCGTGCTGAGATTCCGTCAGACACCAACCCATTAGGGCTGATCAGACTTCCGAGATAAGTGAAACTGTCAACGCGTTCGACTACTTCACTCTCTATTCTTAGTTTAGGTGTTGACGCATACCACCCCTGTAGCAGCAGCTTGAATTTAGAGGGAGAGAAGCGCATTACAAACATTCTGGCATTGTTGCTCAGTGCTACCGAAAGACTGCACTTTATCAGCGTCTTCACCAAAAAAATACTATGTCATCAGAGTACTCTAGGTCAATGAATGAACTTCCTAGTAGGAGATCGATTCCTGAAAATTCAGTCTACAAGAACATTATTTCCATCAGTATGTCTATGATGAAGTTGAACAAAGCTTGAGACAGTGAACAGCTTTGTCATTCACCATAACTCCGACTCAGATGATGGTGATTGATTAAAGAGACTTCACAAAACTTATATACTTCCAAGGTAGATCCTTCAATGACAACACTGTCGAATGTTGCGTTTAAGTCAAGAAAGACCACCACTGTCGGTGCCGATAAGCATGTCTGTATTCTAAAATCTGACGAATGGTGAATATGTAGTCGATGCAGCCATGACGAGGCTCAAAGCCAGCCTGATTTTCTCGTGTTTACAGTTCACGAGTCTTTGTCAGGTACCCAATAATCATTGAGGCTAGTATTTTAGATGCTATATTAGTCGAACTAATTCCTCTATGGTTATCACAGGATTACTTTGACCCCTTCTCATATATTCGGACAATCAGTGATTGAGACCAGTCAGATGGGTTTACATTCAGTTTCCAGATTTCACCTAAAATATTAGTCAACCTAATCGCTAAAATTAGACCACCATACTTAAAGACATCTGGGGCCAATCCAACTGCTCTTCCTCGTTTCAGATTAGCTATAGCTTTTTGGACTACTTCAATGTTCCATTCAGGCTGTCTGGGAACGGTGGGTAGTTGTAGAGTAGTTGAAGGTCAGATGAACTGCTCCTTAAACTGTTCCGCTCATCGTTCTAAATGTCTGGGCTGAAAGCAGATAAGAGTGTTGTCTTTTTCTGAGATCGTCTCACTTCTTAATTCCAGTTGAATTTATTAGTCTGGAAAGCTGTCTGGTGTTACCTACAGCCGCTGCCTTTTCTATCTCTTTTGCTTTCGTTACCCACCACTGCTCACGGTCGTTCCTTAGACTCTTGGTTAACTTAGATCTGATTTTTTTCACTCTTCATCATGTTCAGAGCCTGATGGGATGAGTTTACGAGAATCTATCAATGCAAGAGACCTAGTAGAAACCCATTTGTTCTTCGTAACCCTTTGGTTTAAATCACTAATGAATGTCGCTGCTGTTTTGGTTTAAGCTACCTACCTTGACACTAAAGTCACCTGCTACGAGTACTGGGTCTGAGCGGGTAGCTTTATGAAGAAGTTCGGAAAGCTTTCTGTAAAGGTCATCTTTCAATTCATCCGAGCTGCAGTCCGTAAGAGCGTAGGAAGGAACGACGAAAAGGCAACGACGTGTGTCCCTATCCTTCGAGTTCTTACAAAGCCGTTTAGCTGAACAACACATAGGCGACTGTCAACGGGGACCCATTCTAATATTGCTTGTTCTGCCCTCATACTTAGTCCTATGCCAACACCTGCCAGTCCATGAGAACTAGCCATCGGTTCGCCAGATAGGTGGAGAGCGTATCTAGTCGGCTCTCCATTTTGGTGAGGTGAGGTCAACTGAATGACAACACTAGGATCCCGTACGCGTGTTTCCGAGACACAACATACACAAATCGTACGATGGACTAACCCCTGAGATTGTTAGGGATGGTGGTGCAGTTTTGGCAGTTACACTAACTAAATCCGAGCTACAATCTCGGGTCTGGATGTAATTTCATTTGGCAGGTCTTGATCACTGATCATCCCAGTCTAGAAGAAGGGATAAAAATCCTCTTGTGAGGAGACAGTTTAACTAATCTAGTGTCTAAAACGTTAGCCTCAATAATACTTCTACGTCTAACTATAGCTCATGTAGAGCAAACCCGAGGAAATTAGGCTGGTTTCAGACCTGAGGGTGGGTGTACGGACCAAATATTCACCCTTCGGCAGATTCTGTAACATAGACGTACTTTCTGATGTCCGAGTATAGTTGTATTTGTTGACCACAAGGCGATGTCCAATCCCGTTGATCATGAGGTTCTATGGGTTTGTCTCACTGAAAGATGTATCAGATAACTACATCAACTTGACCGATTTGACATAGAGTACGTACATTGAAGGCTCCAATGTGTAGTTTGGAGCGAGGTTTCAGTAGACCTGGGACAGTGTTTCGCGCACTAGAAGCGTTGGCCATGGTGACACTTGCGGAGGAAGTCAAAAGAGCAAGTTTAGAGTTGAAAGATGACATAGGAGGAATAATAGGAATTGAAGACGGAGACTGAATATGAATAGTGATCTTGGGTGTTGTCTGAGGTATGAGAGCAGTTATCACTTCCCGGTTGCGCACACCGTGGAAGGGTTCTTCTGGAGTTACATGAAAAGAAAATTGGGTTAGGGTGGTCTTAGTGACCTGAGAGCCTGACCGCAGTGCCCAAGGTACAACTGATTGAGATCGGTCACACACGACCTTTATGTGAGCAATTTCCGTGTTAGCTCCGTACTTATGGGAAAATAATAATTTTTCAAGAGGATTTTGAACAGTTTAAACAACAAGCAAGGTTTTTAAAAAATACAGTTGACAAAATAAAAACCAATTTTACGTAGTGTGATTTGTAAGTGATTGACATATATGCTCACAGAGTATTCTCACACGATTATTAAAATAGATATAAAGTCAACGCAATATCAAAGATAAACAACGCTTAAGTAATAACAACTTATGTGTCAACCTCCTTGCATAAATCCTTAGTTAGAAGTCGACAGAAGTAAGTACCATACAATGAACAGCTGTCGTGATAAGGACCTCAAGAAGTTGTAGAGCTCACTGCAATGAGATGAAAGATATGCTCACTCTATGGCATTAGTAAGGGTACATTTTTAGAATGAATATTCAAGGTAGATTGAATCAAAAACTGGTTTTGAATTATTTAAAATTCGAAACCTTTAATTCTAAATAATTTAAGACCTTCAATTTCAAGGTGCGATTTCTCGAACCTGATCTAACACAAAATGATACATTTGATATACCTGGATCAAAAGCGAAATGTGGCGATGTGATCGGAAACCTTGTCTCAAGATCAATAAATCATAACCTCAAGTAATGGCTTCAAAACATTTTAATAAGGTGGTCTATTTATCGGGACATTAGCACTAAGCTTCCCGAATTAAACCGACATTAAGAAATACATCAAAATAAATGTTAGGAAAAGTCGTTGCAACATTTTTACGTATAGACAGGATTTATTCATGCTATTTTAAACATGAAAATGAAAAGAAAAAAACACAACAAGCAGTTGAGAACATCGAATAGATTAAGGTGTAAAAAATACGGAATATTTTAGTCAGAGTCACTTATATTTAGCGATATAGGTTAGAGATCTAATCACAAGATGGCAGTTGAAGCACTGGCAGATTCAGTCTGAGTAATCCTCATTTGTTACAATTCGGCTACAGTTTATAAAATAGCAGACACTGACCTCGTTACTTTTTCAGAAGCTACGAAGGATCCTAACGGATCAGTTATTTTAGGGAATTATAGATGGTAACCCAGAAAAGTATATCTTAGGATAAAACACTAGTCGGAACTAAACAGCCAGTAAACCCTAACAAACCTAGATGAAATCAAAAAAGGAATAAAATAAGATAAATTTTAAGCTAGAAATTTAGAAGTGGTTGAGATGTAATATTTGTAACTCAATCGTTATTTAGTTCAATGAGCAGTGCTGTTTGAAGTGAAAACAGGACGAAAACTGTAACGCAGTCAGACATGATAAGAGCACCAAAAAAGTAGACAAAGTGTTATAATTTGTCGTTATGATATGTGAGATCAAAACAAATATAATTATTAAAATAAACAGCAAATAATTTTGAAATCAGTCAATAAAAGGACAAAAGATTTCACACCAAAAGTTTATTTATAAACTCAGATATTATCACTTCTGCAAGTACATTACAAATCATTCGAGGGAGTGATAACAAGGTCTATGTACAAATAAGAATGTACCCAGAGTTCTTTTAACAAAGTCAACTATCGTACGCCTTTGAGACGCCATAATCCATCATTCAAATAATGTATATTTTTGACCCCAATGCCATTGTTGGTTGACAAACTATTGGAATAGAAAGAAGAGAACAATAGTAGAATAGGAAATATTAAAACTATTTTAGGAATACAGTTAGTTTACTTAGCCTTTATAATTTAAGTAAATTAATTTACAACTAAACATTTTAAACATGCAATTCAATTTATGTAGGAAAACTTTTCAACATTACGACCAAATAAAAACAAAAATTTCATTCCAAAAGGTTAACCAATGAATTGTAAGTTCAGTAGAAACATCTCATCGTAATATGGTATAACATTGAAAGTCTTGACTTTAAAAGAAAATGTGTAACCGAAAACCCGATTTAAGCTTACGATCTTAAAAAAAACTAGCAGGAGTAAAGTCAAGAATACTGACAACTGTAAACAATAAATTACACCTTTTTGGTTGTACTAAATATTTTTGTTTCTTTTCTTTATACTACTTAAGCTTGTGCCAGGTATATTTGTTTATTTATATTTTTCTGACAAAGTGACTCACACTGAGTCACGAAACGTCAGAAATTTAATTTTCTAGTCATCGAGATACAACAAATATATCATTTTTATTATTAACAATCCACCTGATACTCATTTTATTCCAAATTATCAAATAAAACCTTATTAACAATACTAATTGATAGGTGTAAAGCTTCCATCTCAATACACAATGGAATTACCGAAAATATGGTGAATAAAAACAGCACAACTGCCTTTGGAGCTAAAAATCAGAAGTACTGACATTTTGATCTGCATGCAAGTTTCGTCACGGATCGACAACAGTTAGGTTACGATTGAAAACTATAAGGGACTTAACTGTATTACCTATATATAGGACTCCTAAGTAATGGACACACAATATAAACAACTGAACTGACACTACAATATCTTACATAGTGCTACTCGTAAATCAGAATTTGAATCCATTTTACTTTAATCTATTAGAGATATTTTGAGATAGTTCTCGGTGGGTAATTAATTTTCTCTTGAAATGGTTGAACTCCATGATTAGGAATGAGAATACATTCCACAATTAGACGCTGGTGAATACAGATTTGTAGTTTCATTTAGACATTTGTGAACATTAGCTTGATTCGTAGATGGTGATTGTGTTGTGTTTACGATAACAATAGTTATCCTTATGTTTACAACCTGTTTAATACCAGGTAATTGATACCTCTCTATAGTAGTCACTCGGCCTTGTAAAATACTATATACAAGCTATGTTTACTTCCATTTTAGTTTTTTTTAAAAACATGAAATTTCTCTAGCAAAAATGCAGCCTTTTCTCCTGGATCTGGCTTTTATTGTTGAATTGTATATTACTTGTTCGATATGCTTGGTCAAAATAAATTGGATTTCGTATTTGCAGTACCTCTTTAACTTTATTATCAACCTACAACTAAAATTTACGACGTACTGATGTCAATCAACGACTGAAACTATCTATAAAACGCAATAAAATTTACAGAATATTTTGATCAATCAAAAAAGTATATTAAGCATTATACTTTATTCTAAAGCAATGTTCCCACAATACATAAGTGTGTTCATATTGTAACCATCAAATCGCTAATAAAGTTTGGTTACATTCAGTTGCAAGAAAGAGTTTTAGCACTAATCGTTAAGAAACTCATCACAAAAAAGAAAATAATATCGTTGCAGAGAAGCAGAAGGTAGAAATCGTAGAATAAAAATTTATTAGTAAGACTAAAAGAGAAGAAAATATTAAAAAATGTGGTCTAAATTAGAACACAATCAGTCCATCATAGACATATTAAGAACTGGCACAAAAAGTGTTCTTCCAAGTTGTCACAACTTATATCAGCACCACAACAGAGGATATTACCTCAATGAAAAACAAGAGTGAAAATAATCGGTTACAGTGGAGCTAAACATAATACACAACAGGCAGTACGAAAGGATTAAAAACGTTGGGTGAATTGAAGGACGATTGAGAACAAAATCCAATAGTATCACTGACTAATTCTACTGTAATAAACGAAGACATGGTGAGGAAAAGTAATTTGCTGTTTCACGCAAAATCAGACACTGACTTTGTAAAACATGAAAATCATACATTGAATACATCATTTGCACATCTTTCTTGAGTTGTTCTTTCAATACTCCATCATTCTTTCAATCCTGTTGTTATCCCAAATGCCGTTTTCCTCCCTCTGCATTTTAATCTTCTGCCAGTAAACATTCCAATCCCTCCTACATACTACTTGTCTGCCCGCATAAGCAGCACACACCACACACCTCCTAAATTGCAAGCTATTTTTAACCTCTAATATCTTCTGCGAGACTACATTATCGTGAACTATAGTATCCTGTTTTTCTTTTTTGGTCCCTTTATTTTTTTATTGCTCAGAATCACCAGATTACTTCAAGGCAAGCATTTCTTTCATGGTTAGGCGAGCGATTATCTAATTCTTCCTCAAACATTCTAGATATTTTCACCCTGAAGCTAATGCTTGACAAGTATTTTCAATTATGATTCCTATATATTCACTAAAAAGTAGGTTTGCAGTAGCGCATGATCAGATTAAAGGCATGAGCTGCAGGGGTTCCTGTCCAATGTCGAACTTCCTTGATAATCTTTGATAGAAGTAAGGTGTGTTTGCGTCAATCACTAAGTTGGTTACCGAACTACACAATGCCTTTATTTATTCTCGAAATTGGTACTTTCTGAAAACAAATTGCCACTTGACTATGTTTGGAACAGACTAGGCTTATATGTTAATCTAACTTCGATGTCCAAAGCAAACCTTGCAAAACATGGACAATGTATGTATGTATCAAACATATACACAATCTAAGTGTCAACTTACGAATTAGAATATTTAGGAAGTTAACAGAGATATTGGAATATATAAAATGTACACTGGGTTTTTTTAAGTATTATTTACAAACACGGTGAAACAGACCAAGAACATTTTCTAAAATACTAAGCATCATTATTATATTTGTGTGAACTAGGACGCTGTCTGGGTGTTCAAACCGAACCAGGTGGCCTTGTCAGAGAACCAATCCCCAAGTCTTTGGCCAACAGATCTAGTCTATTTGACAGCGGAGCAAGATCACAAGACGGAGTCCCATTGTAGCCGGTGATTAGAATAGGTTCATCTGCCATTTGAGCCTATATATATATATATATATATATATATATATATATATATATATATATATATATATATATATATATATATATATATATAATTGGGTTAGAACTAGTCGACCTGAGGAAATAGCAATTGACTCCATGAACTGGAGCGGTGTAATTTAGTTTGATTATCTTATTCAATTGATATTGATCAGCTCCAGGTAATGGATTACTATGAATTCCTGGATAAGATGTTAGTAAATAGAACAGTTTATTGGTTTATCAAACATCGTTCAGGACATAGGTCAGTGAGGAAGCCTTTGTATATTTTTATTTCCCATAAATAATAAGATATAAATCGTAACTGAGCGAAACACATCTAAACTGTGTTTTTAATTGGACTGTTCCTTTTGAAACTCCTTTCTTGTTTATTTTTATTTTTTACACAATAGTTTGTCTTCTTCTATTTCTCGAATGTTTTGACTGTACTTTGTATAACGTCTTTTGTGGTACCCCATTACAAATATCGTCGTAATAAGCTGATCTAACTACAGTGAATAACAAAACATTTCTCTACGGCTAACGTTGGCATTTATGGTTTTATGATTATTCAGATCATCCACTTAACTTCAATGAACATTCGTTTTAACTATATAGCTTCATTTCGTCAATACAAATGATTCCGACCATAATTTCAAATAAAACGTTACGCTGGAGCTTTTAGTTACACAGAAACTGGATTGGTTTTTAGTAGAGTCATTATTATATAGAATTACAACTGTCTATAGTTATATCAGATAATTCTAGATGCTTTTCAGAGAAATAAAAGGTGTATATTTAAACCTGTTTGTTAAGAAACAGGACTTCAAAGTTGGCTCATCGTGTCCTATAACACTAAGATAAATACGAAGCAGACTAAAAACCAACGAAAGATATTTCGGATAATACATGTAAATGTAACTTAACTAACGAGCAAAGGTTAATGTACTCAGACTTCGACTACACTATTTGAGTGAGGATAAGTGGAAGAACTATTTTCACAGCGAAGTGCGTGCGGAGTGGTTTTGTTTGAAAACTAAGAGGTTTATTCATTAAGCTACTTCTTCACACGCAATGATATATATATATATATATATATATATACCCTGAAGGTAATTCATCATACCGATTTTCAGAATCGTTGGATATCATGCAGGTTCTGTACAGCCTAAAAAGCAGTTTCATTTTGCAGTGCAACTACTACACAAGTATCAAGAGCTATAGTCCATCAAGAACACAGAATTCTACAGAGTAATTGCTCTTGAAAATCTACATCCGAATAAGACCGCTAGCACCTTTCGATATATTTCTGTATAAAAAGTACATTTAAAACAAAAGCCTCCGAAATACTTTTATATTACTGAAAAGTAATTTTAGCAATTTTTTTATATGAACATTGTTTTTCTCATCAAAGCGCTGAAATAAAATAGCACAAAGTAAAATGTTACTAAACAACAAATCAGGTTTTTTTCCTACCAGTAATACACTAAGTTTCAAATGTAGCAATTCAGACAATCAAGATCAACCAGTTATTTACCTTTAGTACCTTGGTAAGAATCAAAGATTTTAAAAATACTTTTAAGGTAAATTCAAAATATTTTCCACATAAATAAAGCTTTTCGAAAACTCACATCTCATCAGTAGATAACATAGTAATACCAACTGCGAGTGCATTTGTTTTGCCTTCTGCCATTACAGCAACAACTGACTCTTTAGGAACTTCTGTCATCCGAGCACCGGGTGATGTTAAACCACGACACATAATATTTGACCCATTTAAAACATGCTTGATAGCACCTCTGTCAACTTGTAAATGAGGTAGGATGAAAGGATCTGAACAAGTTAATAAAGTTTTGTGTAGGTTTAGAAAAAGCGGACCAACTTCCTCCAAAATAAATGCATAATAAAGTGTATTTAACAGACATATGGCTTGACATAAGTTGAGAGTTTTGGAGACTATTCAACAGTCGTTATTAGTTGGTGATATGTCAGTCAGTCAGCTACAACGTGGGACCAGGCACATGAATGCATCGGTCCAAGTTGCCATACCTCATTAACACAACAAGATGGACACCAGATTCATAAAAGTAGTTGATTCACAGGTGGTAATATATAAAAGAAAGATTGCAATAAGGATATAGTACAGGAAGAAAGAATTAGTTCGTAGAAAGAAAGATATGAAGCAATTTTAATCTCTTAGTTTAAGGAAAGATACAGAGTGTATACACCGACGCCATTGTGATCGATTCTGAGCCATGTCACCAAGAGTCTCCAACCATTGGTTACGATAGTCACGCGGACCCCATCCAAGTAGTCTGAATCTACCAACATGGATCAGACTAGAGGTTAGTGTCTTCAAGCACTGATGCCACGTTTTGGTCTGGCCACCCCTAATTCTCTTCCAACTATCTCCAACACCAGTTAGCAGTGCACGTCGTGGTAATCGGCGTTCAGGCATACGTAGCAAGTGGCCCAACCATCTCAGTCGATGAAGATTCACAACCTCATCAACTGATTTGCCATCATTCCCTAATACCCTGCGTCTAACCTCACTATTACTTACTCGGTGATCCCAGCAGACGCCAGCAATATTTCTGAGGCATCTGTGGTCAAATACTAGAGTATCTTCTACTCTTGGTGGTTACGTTTCGCAGCCGTAAAGTAGAACAGAACGAACTGTCGTGCAGTATACTCGTCCTTAATTGATAGACGGATATGTCACCTTCGCCATAGGTAGCGCAAGATGGCAAAAGCCAAGCGAGCTTTTCGAATCCGTGCTGAGATTCCGTCAGACACCAACCCATTAGGGCTGATCAGACTTCCGAGATAAGTGAAACTGTCAACGCGTTCGACTACTTCACTCTCTATTCTTAGTTTAGGTGTTGACGCATACCACCCCTGTAGCAGCAGCTTGAATTTAGAGGGAGAGAAGCGCATTACAAACATTCTGGCATTGTTGCTTAATGCTACCAAAAGACTCTGCATTTTATCAGCGTCTTCACCAAACAGGATTATATCATCTGTGTATTCGAAGTCGATAAGTGAACCTCCTGGAAGGAGATCAATACCCGATAATTCAGTAGACGAGAATGTTATTTTCACCAATAGGTCTATGATGAAGTTAATCAAAAATAGAGAACGTGGAGTTGGTGATATGTGAAACGCACAGGACTTGACATCTTATTTTCATGTAGGATGCTTCGACAAATACACTATAATTTAGGTTGATGTGTCAGTTAAGACACATTAAACTATATGAAATCACCAAACGTCAGTTAGGATAATTGTGAATACGAACAGACAAATGTGGTTTTTCGGGCCAAATATGCATCTGTCGGAAATTATCACAAAATCATTGAGTGTTAAAAACTCTCACAAATAACTGACTGCATATTTCCAAATGTTGGAAGCGATTACGTTATGACTTGCAGTAATTCCAGTGAATGGGAGAACTTAAGTATTATAAAGGGCCAGATAAAAACAATTCGCAGTTCTATCTTGGCACATCTCATTGATAGCGGTCATGCTGTAGATAAATCGAAATCACTTCGAGGGACCTATCGTATACCTCCATCATTTCCCAAAGGAGTTCATTTCCGCCTCCTACATATAGCTGAAGCCATAGGAATTTGTACATATAACCCCAATTCATGTGTACAGAAGAAATTCGTAACCCCCCTATCCCTCCCATGGCCAGTTATAACTTAACTAACGATTTTTTAAATTATTATTTATTCATTTTATTATCATTAGCCTTATATTCACATCTGGTATTTGTTTGTGATTTTCCGTCTCTTCCCGTTTGTATTCTTCACTATCTAATTATTTGCACACTTCGTATTACGCAATAGTATTAATGTTTTGTGTTGACTATTCCAAATCCATTTACCCACGTTTGACATTCCATTTCCAACGTTTAACTATTGATAAGACTTTTGTTATGGTATTTTATTATTCTTACTACTATCAGTACACCTATCTTCCTACTATCAAATTGTATTTTTACTTATTATGTGTGGTGACCTTTTCTATTTCATTGTGATTATTGACCCATATTGCCTTGATTGATTTAACATTTTCGTATAAATATTCATGTATTAGAGTAAAGCTTGATGACGATCTAATTGAAAACAACTGTTCGCATATATGTGTTGCTCTAACTTAAATATATTTTTGGTTGTTATGCATACGATCAGACTAAAATTTCTGGCTTTCAACTTTTGCGAAAAATAACCATTGGAAACTATGTGGTAAAGTTATAAATCAGCTAAAGCACTCACAAATGTGATTCATCATCAAATATTACGTAGATGATCACAACCAGAAACTACTTACATTTATGAAGCAATCTCAGCGATGGAATAAACGGACCCTCACGTTGTCGGAAAAACATGACTTCACCGTCAGAATCTGAATACAAGTCGACATGTTCATGACTTAATTTGTTTAATATTAAACCCCAGCACCTTACCACTTAATGTGTTTTACAACATCTTTCTTGGGTAAAATCTGATCAACCATTTTACTATCAATGCCATAACCTTCGGTCAGTCGAGTGCGTAAAGATTTCACGATGGAGTTCTTAGCATTATTTGTACAGGAAATGTCCTCCTTTTCGTCAAACCTACAAAGACGATTAATAATAACTCGATCTCACTTTTTGAACATGTGTAGTTTTGTTGGCAGTAATTTGTATTGTTATGGAGTCAGACGAAATCTGAACAAGGGACAGGAGTCAGTCTTTGTGGTTTGCGTCAGGCTAGAAGGTACTTTGTGTACAAGAAGAACACGCACAATAGCTTGGAGTGCTAGAAAAAGGAATATAAGATAAAGTGAGTCAACGACACAACAAGCGCACACTTAATAGTGAAAGAGACCGACAATGAACAGAAACAACACAACTCTATGACTAAGGCAATCTTATAAATCAAAAACTAGAGCAAAAAGCCCAAACCACCGCACAACTTATGACTGAAGTTACCTCTTTTTTGACGACCTTGAGGGACCTGTTTGTACAAATAGTTCAAATGGTTGTGGACGGAATAGAAGAAGCTTTCGCTTAACAGGCTTCCATGTCTATTAGCAGGGGATCACGATTAACTCCAGGCAGGAACCTAGGTATGTTAACAATAAAAGAGGAAAAAGAAATCGGTAAATCATAGTATGATACTATCTTTAATCCTTAAAAACAGATCGAGTTGCCTATTAAAGGTCTCCTGGGAAGTCGCTTGGACTAGCTCGGCCGGCAGCGAATTCCAGCATTTGACAACTCTTAAGGAGTAGAAGTTGTGTCTACAGTCCGTTCTGCCATATCGTGTTTCCAATCTCTGGGTGTTACCTCTTAGGTTAGTGTTGGAACTAAGCTTAAGTAGGTGCTTGAGATGATGTCCAGAAGTGTTAAGGATACTGTAAGCCATCATAACGTCACCTCTAAGACGTCTATACTCTAACGGGTAAAGGTTAAGTGATTGAAGAAGCTCTCCATAAGGTTTGAGTTTGAGTCGCCTAACTGATTTCGTGGCTCGCCGTTGGATACGCTCCAGAGTGTCCTTGTCCTTCTGGAGTGAGGGAGGAAATACTCTGTTTCCATACTCTAAATGGGGACGGATGAAACTATTGAAGATTATAAAGAAAGTTCTTACGTCAAACTGGCCAAAAATGCGCTACAACGTAACCAGTGCAAGGTTTGCTCGGAAGGCATTTTCGTCACAGTTAGCATAAGAGACTTATGCTTTGAAGTATTTTAAATCATAGGGCACCAGGACTCCTAAATCTTTTTCGACTCGGGATACTACTAGCGAGGAGTTTCCTAAGTTGTAACTGCAGTCTGCAACATGTCGCATATGGACCAATTTACACTTTGAAGTGTTAAAGGTAAGTCCGTTATCGTCTGCTCAACTTTGAAGTTGAGTCAGATCCTCCTGAAGTGCTTGTATATCGTCTTCATCGCGTATCTCTCTCCAAAGTTTCACGTCGTCGGCAAAAAACAATAAGTCTGACGTTACCTGTTGAGGAAGATCATTTATGTAGATCAAGAAGAGAAGAGGTTCTAGTACTGAGCCCTGGGGGACCCCACTAGGACATTCCATAGCTTGAGATAAAGTGAAATTAACCATAACATTAAAGTGTCAAGTTTTCAGGTATGAAGTAAGCCAATCGACTAGAGGTGGTCTGATACGCAGTCGTTTGAGCTTATTGATAAGACATAAATGGTTAGCTTTATCAAAAACTTTTGAGAAATCTAGATAGATGATATCAACCTTCCCATTGTGATCGAGGATGCTTGTCCATCTTTTCACCGCAGTCAGAAGGTTGGTTATACAAGAGCAACCATTCCTGAAACCATGCTGTTGTGGTGAGAAGAAATTTAAGGACAGTAAATAGTCTTTTATACCATCACATATCAGGGACTCCATGATTTTCGAAGGTATTGAGAGAAGAGCCACCGATCGGTAACTTGAAGGTTCGCTGCGTCGACCCTCTTTGAAAATTGGTGTTATGTGAGCCAGCTTCCAATTTTCCGGTAGTTTTTCTCGCCTTAGCGAGTGTGAGAAAATCACGGTAAGCGGTGTTGCCAGGATTGAGGCTGCTTCCCTCAGTATGGCATAATGAACCATATCCAGGCCAGGAGAAGTGTCAATTCTTAAGTGCTGCAGTTTCCGGAACACCAAGTCAGCGCTCGGGTTCACTTCGGAAAGTCCTTTGGAGTTGCAGATTAAGCTTTCGTCAGTATAGTTTATGTGGGTCGGTTGAAATGTCCAAGAGTATTGTCCAGCCAAAAGGTTAGCGGCGTCGCCGTCGTCACAGGTCGGGCCGTTAAGACCTAACAGTTGGGAACTCCAGTTTTGGCTTGACGAAGAGAGGCTGCATAACGGAATAAGGTTTTCGGATTACAGACAAATTTCTCCATAAGCTTTGTCTGGTACTGAAGCCTGTCTTCTCTTATGGCCTTCATGCATATGTTCCTTATATGTTTAAATTGCCTGTAAGCTCCATTGTTGTCAATTCGTTTGTACTCTGCTCATCAGTGCTTTTTGCGGATTAGCAAGAGAAGAGTGTGGTTCCTAATGATTGTGGGTTGCTGATAGCTATGGGGGAACGTTTGAGGAACTGAATGATTTGTAGCATATATGAGCGTGTGCAGTATGAGGTCGCAATGAGCATCCATATCGAGTTGAGGGTGAACATCTCAATCCACCTGTTGTAGATAGTTTTGTAGAGCTGGCACATTCAACAGTTTGAAATTCCAGTGCAATTTGTTGGTGGGATATCTCAGCTTAGTTTTGCTGACGAAACTGAAAGCCACAACGACGTGATCGCTTTTTCCCACGGGAGCCAGCATTGAGAGGTTGTCAGCTAAAAATTCTTCGTTTGTAAATACGCAGTCTAAGCGCGATGATGTCTGACTGTTTCTATGACGAGTTGCTGACTTCACATTTTCGTATAATCCCAAGTTATCAATGAGGTTGAAGAACCGAGCTTCAGTTGGGTTTTCACCTCCAATTTACGTATGTTCCGCGAAGTTGACTCTAGGGAGATTAAAGTCCCCCTAGAATCAGGATATGAGTGAAACCGAGATGATTAGAGCGGGATAGTCCTTCCAGCATACGACTGCCGTACTCGATGTCGGCGGTGGGCTTCCTACATATGACTCCGACTAGACACCTCGAAGTAGCAGACAATCTTGCAGAACACCACACAGATTCCTCAAGACTGTTAAACTCGAGGTTATGAACTTGGTGTACCTCCAAGCAAGATCGTATGTACATGGCTACTCCACCCCCGACCCCTGATTTTCTGTCGTTGCGAAACAAAGACATTCCAGGTACTGCTAACTCCTGGTCCGAGAACTGAGAAGATATCCAAGTTTCAATTATTCCTATCAGATGAGCCTTGTTAGTACTATTAAGTTTACGTAGATCACCCATTTTGTTTGGTAGACTCGCGGCGTCCATGTATAAGCAGTTTATGGTTTCAATTTGAAACGCGTGAGCTTCATCCTGTTTGTCTGAATGAGCCTTACGTGAATGGACAGGTAGCCTACCTATATAAGGTTTGCCGAGTTGGTAGGCCCTGTCCTTTACACGTTTTTTAATCATCGAGGCAGTCCACAAGTGGAATGGTCAGCTCCAACTTGCCTTTGTGCTTGGTCCTAGTTTCATATGGCCTATCCGGGTGCATATGGATTCCAGCTGGCAACTGAGGTCTGTTGGCACGAAATGCCTCCAGAGTTTCAGCCCCCATATGGGAAGATGGGAAAGTTATCTTCATTAGCCGAGGTCTGGAATCACCGTCCTTCTTGGCTAGTCTCGTCACGTGTTGAGTCAGTATGTTTTTGAGCCTCAAGGACTGTTTGATGAATTTCCACTCCCTGATGTCGGAGTTTGCTTGATTAGAGTCCGTGTTTTCCGGTACACTTTGCACAACTATATTCCCTCCGCGGAAAAACTGATCGCGAGATTCGTTGGGGATGTTCCGGATATGATTGCGCTCAGAATACGGTATGTCAGGTAGTATTCTTACATTCCTGTCTGATTTCAGTAAATGACTCGCTAGCAAGACATCCTCTACGTCGATAGCATTCTTAAGTGTTACACGAAGTAGCCTCGGGTAATAGGATTAAGTGAGATCTTAAATACAAATGGTGTTGAATACATATCTCAGTAACGGAGTTTGTTAGCATATACAGTAGTTCAAAACAGTCAATTATAATTGAGCTGGATAGACATAACTGGACTGGAATAGTAATTTAATTGGACGAACATAATATCTGAAACTTGTAGAGGTAAATAAAACGCCTAAATAAATAGTTCTGTATGTCTCCAACTTTTGACCTTGACCTAATTAGTTTTAATGGATACACATAGCTGAAGGATCTCTGTCACGCACCTGCACTAGATTATGGGTGTGTAAGCCATGCTACACATAGCTTGCGACTGTTAACCAGGCTATGTCAAACGCTTCCTGATATTTCAATAGCTTTTCAAATATGTATTTGAAGCACTTCACGTTTTGCTTCTGTCCTGATTGGACTTGCATACTTCGATTACAAAGGTGTCACCATCCAGAACTACATTAGGCTGATCTAATATATTTTTCTAATAATAATTTCAACTAAATACAGTGTAATTAATCAGGCAGTATGTCTCAAAAAGCATTCATTTTCAGGCTTGTAAGTGCTCTGCTGTGCTTAGAATTTTGCTTGTTTAATTTAAAGCCAACCGGCAGCCTGAACGTTAGTACTTAGTGTATGATCGCTATATTACCATATTTAGTAGATGCGTTCCGTAATCACATGGAAATGTGAACATCCGAGCAGATTTCTCCAAGTTTTCATTAAGGTTATTAGATCTTACTAAGTGGCGCAATCTGTTTGGTCTGTATAAAGCTGCATATTTTGCACGAGCAACTTCTGAATTTATTTAATTGAGCGAATTACTGGCTTAGGAAGTAAAACAGCCATACAAGTAGACAGATTGTAAGGACAACACTGAAATGTTAAACTCAAATAAACCTGTTGATAAGAACTTGATGACTTTAGCACAACACATGAAATGCATTATAACCTGAATATCGAGAAAAACAGGAAGCGTATGTTAAAAAGTAGAGATCCAGACAATAACTAAGCAACAAATTATATGATGTTTGTGATGACGAGATTTTGTCTGTAACGAAACTACAAATTTTTGTATTAAAAACATGACAAGTCTTCTAAATGGACGCTCTGGTCAATCTCACACACTTCTTCAATAACCCTAAGACAAATCTTCCGAACCTAAATACGAGAGAGAAGGCTCTAAGTATTAAA